GGGCTGGGGGGGGGGCTGGGCACCGTACCTGTAACACACAGAGCAGGGCTGATCAGGGGGTTGGGGCGCCTTCCCCTGTCACTCACAGAGCAGGGCGGACAGGGAGGTTGTGGCCCCGCCCCCTGTCACTCACAGAGCAGCAGGGCGATCAGGGGGTTTGGGCGCTGCCCCCTGTCACGCTGATCCCGGTGCCGGGAGCCTCACTGCTCTGCTGATCCCAGTGCTGGGAGGCATATTACCCTTTTACTATATAGAATAGAGGCCTGGTGCACAGGTGGGGGCCGGCTGGTTTGCCCTGAAGGGTGTCCTGGATCAGGGTGGGGGTCCCCACTGGGGTGCCTGGCCAGGCTAGTTGGCGGGTGAATGAAGCTCCCAACCGCTCCTTTTTTTTCTTTTTTTTTTTATTCTGGGCCAGCTTTAGCTCTGAGGCCTCGCTGCTGAAAACACTGATACAATGTTGCGGTCCGCCTGGCTGAAGCCTGGCTGAATAAAGCAGGTTTCTAGGGTTTTGTTTAGCTTCTATATTTGTTACATAGTTGCTTAGAGTTAGAGCTGAGAGGCTGGCAAGTCAGGCGGGGAATGTTGGAGTCCACAGTCACTGGAGCAAGCAAGCCTCCCTGTTCGCTTCAGTGCATGGCTGCCGGCCACCATCTTGGCTGACAGTTAATTTGCATAAGGATATGCTGATTAGCCAATGGGAAGGGTAGCGGTTGTACGCTAATTACCATGTTTCTCTTTTATTAGTGTAGATTGCATCGTATGGGATATGGAAGCCAAAGGCCTGTTCGAACACCTTTGCTGTCTGCAGTTACCAAGATAAAAGGTCTCCAATTTGCATAGGAACACAAGGATTGGACAGTCAAGCATTGGAAAAAAGTCATGTGCTCCGATGAATCATGTTTCCAGTTGCATCATGCAGATGGCAGAGTGAGAATTTGGTGGAAACAGCATGAAAGCATGCACCCCACATGCATGAGTACAACCCTTCAAGCTGGTGGGGGCAGTGTTATGGTTTGGGGCATGTTTTCCTGGCATGATTTGGGCCCATAATTCGTGTGGAACAACGTCTGAATAGCACAACATACCTAAGTATCGTTGCTGATCAAGTTCATCCTATCATGTTGATGGCGTAACCCAATGGAGTTGGCTTCTTCCAACAAGACAATGCGCCATGCCACGGTGCTCGTATTGTGCAGGAGTGGTTTCAAGAACATCATGGAGACTTTACCTTGATTAGGTGGCCCCCGCAATCACCAGATCTCAATCCAATTGAGCATTTGTGGGACGAAGTTGAAAGAGCCATCAGGCAACTGGTTCCACAACCATCAAATCTCACAGAACTGGACAGTGCTATTCATCAGGCACGGTGTCAGATTCCTCTCATCACCTTTCAACATTTCGTGGAGTCAATGCCAAGAAGAATCATCGCAGTATTGAAGGCAAAAGGTGGCCCAACGAAGTACTGATGGGGTGGTCATAATAATCTGGCCACTCAAGTTCAAACATATCCCACGTTCAAAGGCTGTTAAATTGCCTTGTTTACCCATATCTTCAGAAAAAAAATCACTTCTACTGTCATGGTAAGCAACCTGCTTCCCTATTTGTAATGGTCTGTCCCTCTAGCAACTTCAGAGTGAAATTATAGCTAATTTGCCTACAAACATCATGTGATCATAATAATCTGTCTACTCAGTTTATATATAGCCAAGGTACCAAGACATGTAAGACAGTAAATGGCACTTTCTTTCTTTTTTTTTTTAAATTAACCAGTCCGAAAGTGCTGGGTGCCCTCCTAACTCTAAAGGAAGAGGATAAAACACATGCAACTTTTTAAAATTGATTTTTCAGAGAGAAGAAGGGAGAGAGAGAGATTGTTTGTCTTCTGCAGGCATGGAACCAAGAATCAGACCAGGAAACTAGGTACATTTCCTGAAGGGATCAAAGCAGCCACTGCCTGGTGTATGAAAGTGATGCAGAATTTTTAGACTGGAACACCTGGTGTTCCCCTGGACTGGAACCTGGATTCTTTGTCTGCCGGAGTCAAAGGATGAATCCAGACAGAAGGTGGTATAGCAACATGGAAATTTATTAAAGAACAAGTACAGACTCCCACATGGGGAGGGGGAAAGAGTCCCCCAGAACGGATTCCCACCTAGGGAAGAGGAAAGGGTCCCACTGAGTTCCTTT